TCAAGCCTTTGTTCATGTTAATCTTTTTGCTTAAACCATCTTCCCTGGCTGTCACCCATTCATTCTTTGGGACTGAGTCTTAGAAGCTTTCTTTCCATATCCAGATAGAAGAATCGTTCTCACCTTATCACAGTACCTACTCACAGTTATTGCTTATTTACCTTTCTGCTCAGTGTTAGCTTAGTGAGATCAGGATCCATGTCTATCTTGTTCTCTGCTTATGTCCAGTGCCTGGCACACTGACTGGAACCTAGCAGACACTTTAATCAACTTTCATTCTAAATGCATTCATAATATATAGATGAGGTATTCACCTTTGAATGACCCTTTTCTAGAATTCATGATTATATCTTTCTTCTGTCAATATATCCTTTCCATAGAAAGAATACAGCATGATTGACCAGGCCCAAGCTTTCAATGTGATAAAACCTTTCTTATATGGAAATCTTGATTAGATTTTTTATCTAGATAATTTTATATTCATTCAGTCAGCAAATAATTATTAGTACTATATAGTTTGCAATAAATAAGTAAATAAACAAATGCTAGGCCCTAGGGGAAATAAACATTGAAAGAAAAGCTGAAAACAAAAAAGACTAATGAAGATTAAAGTCATATAAATTAATAATAGCTATGAAGTAGGTGCAAAAATCAAAAGTATAAACAAGTCACCAAAGCAGCAAAGAGAAACAAAATTTGGCCTCTGTAGTTAGGAAAAGCCTTTCCAAGAAAGGTATAATATCTTTAATGATAGGCAGAAATTTGCTAGATGGAAGGGAAAGTCATTCTAGGTAAAAGAAACAGTGGGCAAAAGCGAGATTTAGAGGAATATTGTGTATATAGACTCTATAGACTTATTGATGCTGCTGCTAAGGTAGATGAGATTTCAAAGAAAAAGGCATTCGCTGTCCAGCCTAAGAAGTTTGGGCTTCGCTCAGTAGGAATAGGAAAAACACAAAGATACATTTTTAGCAAAAACATGGCATAGTCAAAGGAATATTTCGAAAAACACACTTCGGTAGTAGTGTGGATACACTGAAGGAGGCAAGAGGTTAAGCATGGAGATCAGTGAAAAGTGCAAGCAAAGAATAGGAAAACCCTGAGGTAATACTTACAGTGGCAATGGGAAAGAAGATAATTGGATGAAATAGTATAAAGGATACAGAATAGTACAGTATAAATGACGACCTAGGTTGGGGATGGGGGAATTAGTAGTAATAGTAGTAGTAGTAATCTTTGGCTGAGTGACATTTTCTGTCACGTTCTTGATATTGAAGGGTGGCACAATATGCCACTATAAAATATGCCACTTTGGCATAAGGATTATTTTGAGCTAAAGGCACTTGAAAAACAGCAGATAAAAAAGAGACACTTTGCCCTCCCTGTACCAGGAGAAAAGAAATTCTTATCGTCAGAGATGGAAAAAAACTCCCACGTGAAAGATGCCCTCCCAGTAGGTGGAGAGAACAAACATTCTTGTCACCAGACAGGAAGAGTCCAGAGTGAAAAAAATCTGTACAAAGAATGCTTGTTAAAATAATTTTCATCTTCCTTTAGCCTCCCTACACATTTTAGTTACTTTTCCACAATTGCCACTCTTTTTTCAACCTACAATATAAATATTAAAGTTTTGCCATTTCTTGGGTCTCCATTTCCCTGTCGAGGCTCCCATGTACATATAAAAATCTGTGTGCTTTTTTCCTGTTAATCTGTTTTATGTCAATTTAATTCTCAGGGCCAGCTGGAGACCATAAGAGAGTAGAGATAAAGTTTTGCCTCCACTACAATAGCAAACAGCACTAAAACAAAACTCAAAACACCTTAAATAGAATTTATAGAAGGTAGTGCTTCCTCATCAAAATGGCTGACGGAAAAACACAAAAAGTAAAAAGCTAGCCAGTAATAGGTCAAAAATAATCAATCTTGACTCCACTGTGATTCAAATTTATTAATAGAGTTTTACAATTGTAATTACCAGTAACTATTTCATAGCTTATTTTATTTTAAAACTTTTTTCATAAATATCCTAATAAAGATACATTCTTAGAAAAGCTCAGAAGTTTCAGAGATAGCAAGATAACAAAAATAGAAACACTGTTGACTGAGGATTCAGAAAGAAGGCATCTTTTTGAGGAACATTTAGTAGTAAAATACAAAAGTAAAAAGTAAGGTGTGCAGATGAGGGAGCTTATGGTCTAATACACAGGGACAATCAAAAGACATAAGAAACAAATATAGGATAATTCTGGTGCATTCCCACAAGTGTCTCTTAAGATTTCAACAGCAAATGAATTGAAGAGCTACATTTAATGATTTAATAAACTAAGCGCACTTCAAGTACATAACAACTTAAGTGAACTGAAGAATTAAGCCTGCAAATTGAGACCTATTCCAAAATATTCAGCCTTCTCATCACTCGAATTCCCAGACTCTTCAACTTTCTTGGGTGATTAATATTGTGAATCTCTCCTTCTCTTCTTCACACCCATCCGTAATATAAAATTCAAATAATGTATGCCTTTGTCATACATACTGATGTCCTTGGTTCTTAATTTTAAAATGCTGAGTTTGACACTTTACATTTAAATTTTAAAAAAACCCCCACAGATTAAGATTTTTATTAGTGATTTAGCCGACTTCAGAGAGACAAAAAAGACATGTATATTTATATGGTCCCCATTCCTACAAATACTAGAAATAAATATAAATCGTAACATCGTATGGATTTTAGAAAGCTTCTCAATAAAAATAAATTTGCATGTTCTCAATGTTGCTACTGCTGTCAGTATTGTCCTGATTTCCCAGCTTTCTTCTCTCTTTTAGTATAAGAAAACTGCCAGTTTCACTAGAAACATTAAAGCTCAAGTGACACAACAATTGAAGTTTTCATTTTGTAGTTTAAATTTAAAGTTTCCACTACCTCCACCACTTTACCCTATCTATCTCCTTCAGTCTCAAAGAAAGGAGAAAGACAAACCTGGGGATTGTTAAAAAGTAAAAATTAAAGCTATAATGTCATCTGTGCTCAAAAAGTGTTGTAGTTGGTAAAATTGACAAGGTTACTTTACTTTTTAATGCTTCCCCAAGTGCCTATCAATTATATAAAGCTGTGAGTAATGAATGGCATAAAACACAGTTCCAAAGTCTTAAGTTTTATTTTTTAGGAAATACAGTACATGTTAAAATATCACATTAAAAACAGTAGAGTAAAACAAAAAAACATGATAGAAGATTTAATAGTCCTTAGGTATGCCTAGAATTTTCAAATAGTTGATTACTTCTTTTTAACCCTTTCTTGACCAGTACTTAATTTTTTTGGCAGCTGGCCAGTATAGGGATCCAAACCTGTAACCTTGGTGTTATAAGGCTGTGCTCTAACCAACTGTGCTAACCAGCCAGCCCTACTGAACAGTATTTTACCTTGTTGGCAGTATAATATTTTTTCATCCAGTTTATCAAAGAATTAAATATATGGAGTTAGTGAAAATTCCAGTTAACTAAAGTTTAATTATATAGCTCCAGATAATCTCTCCAGGACTCCCTTGCCTCACCTTCTCAAGACCTTCAAGTTAATCAAAAAGGGTTGCTTTATGATTATAAACCACTTACCAAATTGCTTATGAGAGAAAACTTTTTTTACTACTTTTAAAAAGAGAATAATAATAATAAACACTTTGGGTATCGCTTCAATAACTTCAATGAAGTCAAATTTTGCTTTATTTTTTCCAAAAATTATGCTGGCAAAATAGTATGAAGAGAATCTTTGTAAGTATAAATGTATGGTGCTATTATGAGTTGACTTTATTAGTTCCTGTTATATAGTTAGATGAAAGCATAAAAGTATATATATGTATATACGATAGAAAAAAAATTTGGACTTCAAATTTCCAACTGATAATATACACAAGCTCTTTTATTGCATTTTCAGTAGCTACTTACATTATGCACACTATATGTAAACTAGGAGATTAGAAATATTTCAAATCATTTAATTGCGTGTATATCTACACTATATAATGAAAAAAAGGAGGAAGGATAGAAACAAAGAGAAGGAGACTTACCTTTTCTTCTGTCTTCCACAAAAAGACTTCAAAAATGTTTCTTTTTTAACATGAAGTTGAGTTTTTCAAAAGGGAAAATATGATTCAATGCTTTATGGGAAATCACTTGTTTTAATAAAAGATAAAATATTGACATATGAACCACAAGGTGGTGCTATAATTCCATGCTGGTAAAGATATTTTAGAAGTTAATTGATAGTTTTTTCTCTTATAACCAATCTCTTGATTAATAAAATGTAGTCTCTTGAAAAAATAAAGTTAATAAGATTCATTAATTCTAAAAATATTTACCACAAGTCTACTAAATTCAAGGTTGTATGCTTCTGTATGCTAACATAGAAGTTCATAAAGTCTAATGACTAATCATTTATGAGAACATTAAAAATCCTTTCTTAAAACGTATTTCCACTTATAACTTACTGTTTTGTAACTCACAATGAAATCCCAAATTATACATACATATATAATATAAACAGAAGAATAAATAAAATATATGATAACCTACATAATAATTTTTTAAAATACTCTTTTCCTTCCAAATAATGGAGTTAATTTTCTTGAGGATTACTCAGAATCATTACATTTTTAAAGTTAAAAAAAGATAATTTATATAATAACTTTAAAAATGAATTTCATTTTTCTCTTTATTTAACTTCATCTAAGCCTTTTTCTCTCTCCAAAAAAAAAAAAATTTATAACTTCCCATCATTAAAAAACCCCCAAAACTTCAGTGCGTATCTTCTAATACTGGATGGCCACCGTCTGTGTCTATGCTGCTGGTGTTAAAATGTGTTATGGAATAAAGCACTAAAATATTCAACACATTTCTTACAATGAAACTTCAGACCTGCTCTCAACTACCAAAGGAGAATCATTCCCTTATTTTCTCAGTGTTAATTGAAAAGGTATTGCTGCTTTTTGACTAAGCATGAAGATAGCTGTATTTTTGTTTTATTTTATTTTCAATGAGCATTTTTAACTTTCCATTACAACTTATTCGTCAGTACAGATGGCAAGATGGTATATTCGAGAGCCTCCTGGGTACAATATGCAAGTCCCAGTTGGAGTATTTCCAACAGGATGTGTAAACCACGGTCCTCAAGCCTGTACTTTAAAAAACATATTACTTAGCACACTGCCAACAAATGTCAACACAAAAATACAGTGTTGTAATGACTTCACTCTGTAAAAGAAATGTGCTGGAACATAAGTTTTTCCTAAGAAAAGTGAAATAGAGTAAAGCAGTGTAATCGTAGCTCAAATATATTAAAGTATTTATTCAATAATGAATGAAAAACTCATATACCAATGGAACTCAAACTATTAATAAAAATATTGCAGTATATTAAAAATGTATGAAGAATTCTTATATACAACATGTACAGTAGTCAAATTCCTAGAGAAGTTCATGCAGAAAATTCTACAGTTAGTGACTTGGACATTTCAGTAATTCTGCAGTTTCTTCAAACCTGAAATATAAACAACACATTAAGTAAATAAATAATTCATAATGAAGGATATAATTTAAGTTGTTGAAATTATGCTTTTGAGTCTAAAATTTAAATATTTTTGTTATTTATTGGTAGTTACTATTAATAAGCTCAAGTATACTACGGCCGAAGCAGAGGAAAACAAATAGAGTCGATTAAGAGTTTCTAATTCGGGCTGAGCCCGTGGCGCACTCAGGAGAGTGTGGCGCTGGGAGTGCAGCAGCGCTCCCCCGCCGCGGGTTCGGATCCTATATAGGGATGGCCGGTGCGCTCACTGGCTAAGCGCAGTGCGTCCGGTCTCAAAAAAAAAAAGGACAAAAAAAAAGAGTTTCTAATTCTTGGGCTGTTATTTCAGTACTTTTCAAATTCCAAAAGAATAAATAGTTCTTTAAAGTAGTAGGCTGCATAATAATCCTATACAATTTCATTTTATATTTCCTTTGAACTGCTCTTTAAAAATCACATGCAATGTCATTTATACTAAAAGTATCATTTTTAGTATAATCTTATCAATAACTTGCTGAAAAAGACTAGCCAATACTTTAACAATCTTGAAAATGTCTCCAAACTATCCATCTACATATATTATTTAATATTTTGATAATTCAGTTATCAAAAATAGATAATGCCCATGATTAACTATCAATATCTCTGCACTTTTTAATCCACAGTTAATTCTATTAACAATGTTTTACATCACTTGTTGGAAACCAAAACAGTGACTCATCTCACAAACACATAACTGTAGGTAGATTTATTATCCACTGGAGTCTTGAAGGAAATTCCACACCTGATTGAGAGACCTTTAAGGTTTGAAAACACATATGTACATTCTATATATACTGTAATCCAATACAATTCCCTACAGAGAAATGAATTTCTGTTGCCCCTTTCTGTTACTTACATTTTTTTCATCCTTTCCATTTTCTGGATTGTTGTTTCCTTTAATTTAAAAAGCAACAAATTTAGGCAATTTCTCAATGTAAACCACCATCCAAGATGGACCGTGAACATATAAAACAGTCTGAAATATTACATTAAGTACTGTTTACTTATCACAAAAAACATTTGTGAGATTAAGATTTACACAGTTTCATTATTTTTCTTGCCAGCATTATACAGAACTAAAACTAATGCTTGCTTGTTCTCCTGACCTTTGAAAGGAAATCATCTAAGCGGTTGCCAGTTTTTCTTACCTGTGAAATCTCTTTCAAACCACAGTAATTAATAGTAGAGGTTCTGGGAGTTGAATCTGATGATGCTGTACTATAACCAGAGGATGGAGGAATACTTGCTGGCCTCTCCATTTTGCTTTTTCTATCTGTAAAGAAATGTTTATGTTACTTTTCCTTTTGCAGTAGAGTCAAACATCTAAAATTCATTTTTATAGATGGAAGAAAAACAAACAATATTTTAATATAAAATAGCAACTAGTATAGACTGAAGACAAGTTTTTAGTATTTCTTTAAGATAACAGCCTACCTATGGAGATGTAGATATTTAAAATTGGCCAATAAAAATTACCAAAGGCAATGTTATCCTTATCATAATAGCAATCAGTTTTAATAAATAGGCAAGTTAATTTATTTGTAAATATCAGCTATCAACTCATGTATATCTTTTTTCTTAAAATGGCGGCATATGTATTAAATAATGAACATCAATAGTGCTTCTATTCAGCAAGGTTTAAACATTTCACACATTTTTTTTACTATTGTTCTGCAGCAAGTGGCAACCATTACTAAAACTGGCTATACATACTTTTTAAAAATCAAGAAATATTCTATCCTGAGTTGACACATATGAAAAAAAATAATGCTTAAAATTTGAGATTCACAGATTTTATTTTCTAAAGAACTGAAAAACTTAACATTTCAGATATCCCAGTATCATTAATTTGAAAAAATGATAGCAAATCTGTCCTACAACTGAATCAATTACAGAACATCACAGATAAGACATGCTCTTGTCGAATCAATCCTGTAAGCCCTTTTTTAGTCAGAGTACATTTGGCTGCAAAAACAAGCCCCCCCGCCCCCCAAAAATCAGATGCCCATTTAAACTGGTTTACATAAAGATAGCTTTACTGTTGGCCTACACAAACAACCTCAGTTAGGAGATTAACACATGAGGACTGAAACAACCAGAAGACTTTAACTTTCATCTCTCATAGAGCCACAGTTTCTCTTGCCTACTTTTCTTGCCATTTGCTCCATTCCTCTGCTTTTCTCTGTAGAATAGCATTCTCTGCCTACTCATCAGCATGAATCTGGACAAAATGGCCATCCCAGCTCAGGCTCAACATCATTTAACAGACTTACTTTTGGTGTCCTAATTCCAAACTCTAAGCAAGGCAATATAATTTGGTTCAATACACTTTGGATTAGTATTCCCCGAATTTGGCACCTACTTTTGATCCAATTAACTAAGCCTGGGGATCAATATCACATAGTACAACTCTGATGGCTTGCTAGACATAGACCTTTTATCAAGGGCTGTGGACAACAGGTAATTTTAAGAAATAATTTGAAATTAGGCAGGTACTATATCTACTATACCCTAAATCTTAGATTATTTTCCATGGGTAGACATAGGTGTTCTCTGAAGGTACTGAATATTTTTTATGTCATTCCAAAAAGAGGAGGAGATCCTAGGACAGGGAACCAGCACTGGAAAGACAGACAGAATAGAAGGTAAGGGAATGGCTCTTTTAGCCCTCCATTTTGGGGCCTAAGATTTTGAGGTATCTAGTCTTATTTAAGGGTATGGCTCATGATAGGAGAAAGCTGGTATTAGGCAAGCTGTGAAGCTTATTCAGAGCAATATGCCTATAAGGTTACAGAGTGGAGAATATACAGAACAGCAGCCTTATTTAACAGCCAGATCACTTAAGTATATATTACTTTCTATGATAATTTTTCTTGTTGCTTTCCTGAGCCTTTAGTAAAGTCTTGCTTATTTAAACGTAGTGGTTTCTTAGCTGTGCTATATGGGATTGAGAAAATAATTGGTAACTGAATTTAGGTTAAAAAGGAAAGGAAAGGAAAGAGGAAAGCAGCAGTCCCTGAAGTCAGGTGCCTGAAGCCAATTGTTATGGAGTTTCAGTAGTGACTGTTAAAAGGGGATCTTCTAAGATATGGGACACTAGATCCTCTAGACAACTCTCCCCATATGACCATTACTCTTGCCAAGGGGAACTATCACCTTATTCTATTAAGAGAACCAGTTAGGCCCTTTACCATCTTATAATTTATAAGCCAGTACTTCAAATCAAAGACCAATGTGTATATCCAACTGATTTCTGGATATTTTGTCTTAAGTGTTTCATATATAATTTTACATACTTGAAAGTGAACTCACCATTTCCCCCCAAACCTTCTCCTCCTCCTAAATTCTCTATTTTATTAAATAGTAACAACTACTCAATCACATGAGTCAAACACAAGTAGTCAGTCTTATATTTTTCCCTTTCCTTCACTCCTTTAACTTTTACCAGTAATCAAGGGTTATCAATTTTAACATCTAAATATCTCCCAAACAAATTACCTGCTCTTTATCCTCACTATTACTGCCTTAGTAGAGACTCTCATTATTGTTGTGAAATAATGATCACTGAAATACCCTCAAATTACCATCCTTGCTTGTTTTAAACACTATTCTGCTTTTATAATGACTTTCTGAAACACAAGTCTGAGAATACTAGCCTTGCTAAAAATCTTTTTATGACTCTGGGATAAACTCCACGATTTGGTCTTTCTACTCCTCTGCTTCAACTTCCTTCATGTGCCCACATGTACCCTTCCTTCTAGTCATACTGGAACAAACTACACTCTTGAGGTGCCACACCTTTACTAATAATATTTTTTTCTTCTAAGAAGAAAAAGGCCCAAAACAAAGCAAAACAAACAAAAAAGTGAAAACAGTCCTTACAGCTGGTGGCCTATCTGGCAATTAACACCTAAGTTACTACAGCCTCTACTGAATATAAGTAACTTTATAGAAAATAACATCATATAAGATCACTTCATTACCTTAATAAAACTAATGAAAACAAAAAACTGTCATGTTTGAAGACAGATAAGACAAGAACACCACATAATCACAAAAATGACCAAACATGGCTCTCTCCCTGCTAACATGAGTGCTTCTTTTCCATTAAAAATTTCAGCCCCATTTCCTTCTTATCATCAATCAAATTGCTCCGGCTTCCTGACAGCACCCAAATCAGAAGAGGCCTCATTTCCTTAAATTCTCTCCAAAATCACCTAACACAAACCCAGTCTTTAAAAGGCTCTCCTAAATCATTCTTACCAAGACACTGAGATGCCTTACAGTTTCCTATGGAACACTGTATTTCTGATAGAAGGAAAAAAATTCTGGAATCTAACAAAAACCATTCCTGACTTAACTTGATCCTAAGACTAGAGTAGTACATTACTGCTGTCTGCATCCAAATGAATCAAACGCTCTGCTTCCAAATGGCATGTATATGTAAGGCATAATGTGTAAGGCTTTAGAAACTTGACTTTTTTCTTTTTTTTTTTCTTTTTCGTGACCGGTACGGGGATCGCAACCCTTGGCTTGGTGTCGCCCACACCGTGCTCAGCCAGTAAGCACACTGGCCATCCCTATATAGTATCCGAACCTGCAGCGGGAGCGCCCCTGCGCTCCCAGCGCCGCACTCTCCCGAGTGAGCCACGGGGTCGGCCCAGAAACTTGACTTTTTAAATCTATATCAAATTATAAAATCTATGAGACTACATATTAACTTTATTCATAATCTATAATCCATTACAGATAGCGATGTATCTGCTTATCACTCTAAGTCCTAGTAGCTTAAACTTGGCTATGTGTTTTCTAAATACATTAAACATATATTCTGTAATAATAAGTTATTCAAAAAAGATAAGCTTGAATATGCAAAATCAAACTTGCAAAAGGCAATGTTTTCCAAGTAGTAGGCATTCAATATTCTTTCAATGTGTAAATATTTGAGCTGTACTACATGTAGATACTGGAGAAAGATGAACAAATGTACTTTCTGTCTGTTAAACAAATAGACCATAATATAAAGTTTTTGCTTTCAAGGATCTTAGAGTCAAGCTTTGATATTTGTTGAATAAATTACATGACTTATAATAGAGAAAAGTTAACATTTTACCAAATATGAAATTTGCAGTCTATAATAATGCCTAAAATAGCATCTCAAATAATTATATTTAATAACCTAATCACTGAAATTGTTCTGTGTATGATAAAATTGGTATTTGCATTAAATATGTAGCAGTTAAGAGAAAACTTGAGAGTCAGTTGCCTGGATTCAAATTTTCTCCACCATTCAATAATTATGGGACCTTTGGCATAGTTAGTTAATGTTGCTATACCTCAGATTCCTTGTCTGTAAAATCTGGATAACAATAATACTTATCTTGCATGGTTGCTCTGAGATTTAAATGAGTTAATACAGCAATTATCACAGTATCAGGCTCATAGTCAGTACTATAAAATATTAGTTATTATTATTTTTATGTATGTAGTTGCTGAAAAATTTTATGATATTAAACATCTGAGGTATAAACATTTAACTTTATGATGAATTCTCAATTGGACAAAATATCTCTCCTACAAATATAATTTAATCATAGACATGAGACAAAATTTAGACCTTTGTCTTTTCAAAAAATGTGAGAATCAAAAAAATGAAAGTTATCACCAAAAAACAAAAGAAATCTTATCCTTGCTGCTCAGTCACACTGGAAATGTCAGTAGCCTAGTGAAGTGACATGGAGAACACCTATCTTAATTCTAGATCTTACTCATTTTATCATCATCAACAAAAAACTGCTCAAATTCAAGAGGTTTGCAATACTTTACAGGTTACTGACCAATGTGTTTTCTTCTCTTACAAGTATTATTTACATATGAGAAAGTTACTATGTAAGTTTAAACTAGAAGCCCCGGTGGCCAATATCTCTAAAAGTTTGCAATTTTGTACCCTGGAATTTATTTACCCACGATGTAATATAAGATATGTAAGCTGGCTTCTTAAGCAATCCTTGGCTTTAGTAGTCTATAGATGCATTATTCTTTATGTTCTAGGAGCTATGCAATTTCAAAAAAAAATAAGGCTTGAAAACATTGAAATTACCATATATCCATAAAAATTATTTTTCTGAAAATTCCTTATGATACCACCAATACTAATACCATTTAAGAACGTACCAGGATTCAGAAGATCCATGTCACTACTAGAAGCACAGTCTTCACTCATTTCATTAAACTCTATATATTCATCATTCTGGAATAATAAAGTTGAATATTTATAACTAAATGAAATGAAAAATGTTCTCATTTTATATTCTTTTGCCAAGCATAAAATATAAAGGTGGTATGATAAACGTTTAAATATTTTTAATTATCTTATTTACAGAGCAATACATATATATATTCTTATGTATAAGAACTAATCTTTTAAATGTCGAAGCAGAGAGTAAACTTCTTGAATCTACCAACTTTACTCTCTAGGAAGGAAAGATAGGCAAGAAATTCAAATAAGAAACAGATTTCTCAGATTTGATAAGACAATGGCAAATTTGGTAACTATTTTTATGAAGTTCACAATATGACTGAAGTAAATGAATGAAAAAAGAAAGAAAGAATTATAACTTTAATTTTTCCTCTCCTACCAACTTTTCTTTTTCTTCACCCTATGAAAACAGGCCATTTGCAGTAGTAAGAGATATAAGATAATTTCAAGCTTTTCATAAACAAAATCAATCATATTCTTACCTCACTTTAAGTATTTTGGTTATTATTAACAGCTCTAAAAGCGCGACTTACAGGTTTTTCAGATTATCTCATTTGATGAAGAGAAAAACAATAGCCACAACAACAAAACAAGCTCTATTGAAACAAGACTTCATTCTAGCTACACATTTTCCCATTACCTACATATTCTTAAATTTAGTATCTCCAAACGAACATACAAATAACAATAAAAGAAATTATTGTAAATGAGATCTTCTATAAATAAGGAAAGAAAATACCTTTTTAGACAAAAGCATTTCTGTTTCAAGAAGAGTGACACGACTTAGAAGATTAGTCCACGTCTTTTCATCTACCATCACTTTTCCTTTCATTTTTTCTTCCAAAGAGTCTAACCTTTTCTCTATCCAAGTCATCTTATTAAGCTTTTCTTGGCATTCAGCAAGCATAGTCTGTAGTTCAGTAATCTCAGGATTAACTCTTATATCCTAAAATTATTAGAAAGATTAAAAATAATATTACATAAACTGAAATTCCTTTAAAACCAATATATTCCCATTTCCATTGTGTTATTTCAATAGTTAGGAGAGGAAGTTTAGCATGAGTGTTAAAGTGCTATGTCTGGAGGCACACTACTTGAACATTTAAACTAGTTCATTGGAGATTTATGACCCTGATGCCTCCATTTCCTCATCTCAAAAAAGAGATAACAACAGTACCTACTTCATATGGTTCTTATGAGAGGTGAGTTAATTTTCATAATGCTCTTAAACAATACCAGGTAATATAATAAAAGCATGACTAACTAGCTTCTTGTTACAATGCCTAGCACAAAGCTAAGAGGAAATGAACAAAAACAATACAGGGCATTGAGATTTTTCAGTTTGTCATATAAAGATAAATAAGCCCAAAAGCCATCTGGTAGTTTTTATAAATGCCAACTGTATACTGAGATGTATAGAACTCATAAGACATACAGGAAAGATAGAAAGAAAAGTTTTAGCAGAAGTAGTAGAGATTATATATATATCATGGGGCCTGTGACAATAAACAGTAACAGAAATGGTATTCTAAAGACATACAGGAAAGATAGAAAGAAAAGTTTTAGCAGAAGTAGTAGAGATTATATATATATATCATGGGGCCTGTGACAATAAACAGTAACAGAAATGGTATTCTCAGACAGACAGAAAAGGACAGCAAGGACCCAGAAAGGAAAATAAAAAGGCAATGAAGTACCAGTCTTTTCCATTCACCAATATAGGAAATAGATGGTAGAGAACCTCCACTGTGCAAAGTAGTGTATCTCTCTCATTAGACTGTACATTCCTTGAAGCCAAGAACCATGTCTTATTCTTCTTGCATAACCCATAACACTCAGCCCAGTACCCTAAACATAAGCAGCAAATAACATTTGTTGAATTATATTCAGTAAGATTTATTGACTTTTAAGTAATGGTAACATAGGTAATATGTCATAAATAATAATGCAAAAGGCTAGAAATATTCCAAAGTGTAGATGCTGAAATAATCTTATATCAAAGTAAGAAATATTGGCATCTGCTAAAGAAGTCCAAAATTCTTACTTGTTGCTCAGCCTTGATTTCAGGGACACTGGCTTCAGAAATCTTTACTTCAGTATCCTTTAAGACAGACACCTCAAATGCTTCATTAACATCTGTTACTGTACTTAATGTATCTTCAGGAATGTCAACACTATCTTCATTATACAGGTGACGGATCACCACAGCTTTCTTCTGCATAAAGAAAAATACATAAGAAATGCTTATGAAAAATACATAAGAATGCTTCAATTCCTTTTCAAGAAGGAATACTCAATCTTCCTTTAAAGATTTTAAAAAGATTAAATTACCACATATAGTGTATATATCAAACGTTATGATCATTACTAACTTTTGTGTGTGATGATTAAAATGTGGTTATAACTTTTTAAAAATCATGCTTATATTTTAGAAAAATCACTGAAATATTTATCTAATAATGTCTAAGACTGTTTCAAAATGTTCCAGTTTGGGCAGGGGGTAAGATGTTGGGGACAGTAGTTGCAATAAGGCGAAAGAAGATTACCGAAGAGTTGATAAATTGTTGAAAATGGATGATGGGTATTTTTGTAAATGTTTAAAATGTTCTATAATAAAAAGTTATTTAAAAAAGAGGTTGCCACACAATTCACATATAAATAATCAAGAACTACCTCTCGAGTAGAATGTATAGCAATTTTTTTGCCTATTAAACATATAATACATTAGACCTTCAGTTAACAATTCAAAATTAACAATGACAAAGGAAAAGTCCTAACAAAAAGGCATTGGGTCAAACCATGCATTTACACAGGACTCTTCTACCTACTTTCTGCTTACAAAGAGTCTGCATATGCATTATAAAAACTTAACTTACGTGACACAGAAGTTATACAAATAGCATTCTGTATAAGGCACTAGGAAAGAAGACAATTTGCTTTAGTACTGACTCAACTTTTGCCTTGACCAAAGAAATATACTGTACAGAGTCTAAGATCTAAATCTGAGAACTTAAAGATCAGATGTATGGGCCGGCCCAGTGGCGCACTCAGTAGAGTGCAGCGCTTGGGAGTGTGGCCATGCTCCCGCCGAGGGTTCAGATCCCATATAGAGACCGGTCCGCTCACTGGTTGAGCGTGGTGCAGGCGCAACACCAAGGGTTGCGATCCCGTTACCGGTCACGAAAAAAGACAAAAAAAAAAAAAAAAAAAAAAAAAAAAAAAT